CCTCTTCCCTTGTTCTGAAATCCTTCTGGATTAAACGCGACCCTCTCCGTTGGATGCGTTCCAATTTGTTAATGTTCGCCTTTATGTACGGGTCCCAGATTATTGCTCCATATTCTAAGATGGATCTACATTCTCTGGGGCAGTGTTGTAGGTTGCGTCGTAGGAAGCCTAAGGTAGAACTGGCCTTTTTGTGGTACTTGCTATATGTTCTTTCCACTTCATATCCCCTGATAATTATAATCCTAGGTATGGGTTTGTCTTTACGTGATCTAAGTTGTGTCCATTAAGTTGGTATGTGTTTTGCTTTTTCTTCTTAATACAAAGAATGTAACATTATTTTGGCATTAAATTTCATCCCCCAGTTTGCAGCCAAAGTTTCGAGCTGATTAAGGTCGTCTTGAAGTGTTTCGTGGTACTTGTTTGAGATTATTTCTCGATAGAGTAGGCAGTCATCTGCGAAAAGTCTAACTGTTGATTTCACAGAGTCTGGCAAATCATTTACATGCATATGGCAAAGAAGAGTAGGGTTCCTAGTACTGTTCCTTGTGGTTCTCCTGACTCAACCGTTGCCTCTTCAGAGAGTTCTCTCTTTATGGCTACCCGAATCTTCCTGCGAGTAAGGAAGGTTTTTAGCCATTGGTGCAGAGGTCCTCTGATCCCATATGAATCCAGCTTGTGGAGTAGTCTGTTATTGGGAACTGTGTCAAAGGTCTTGGAGGAGTCAAGTATTGCCATGTCCACTTGTTTGCCACGGTCAAAAGATTTCAGTAGGTCGTCAATGGTGGTAATGAGTTTCAATGTTTTCACATGAGTATCCTGATCGGAAGTCATGGGTCAGAGATGTCAGTCCAGATGATCTAATATATGTTTGCATATAATGTGTTCTAGAATTTTACATGTTACTGATGTCAGTGATACCGGACGATAATTTGCTGCTGAGTGTTTGTGTCCCTTTTTGATGGTACAGGAAATGTTTGCACTTAGCAGGTCTACTGGTAGCTCACCGGTTGTTATTGTGGTCTTGAAGATGTGTGTCAGAATGGGTGCTATGTGGTCTGCACACTCTTTTAGAACACGATTTGGAATGTTATCTGGCCCCGACGCTTTGGAAGGATTTAGGTTTCGTAGGAGCTTTGCTACTCCCTCTTGCTTAATATTTAGGTTAGGAATCGAATGATTTAACTTTATACGTGTTTTTGGTGAGATTTTGTTGTTATTACGAGTGAAGACAGATGAGAACTGGTTTAGAAAAATGTGTGCCTTTTCTTTGCACAAGGGTGTCCTTATTGTTTTCCCTTTTTATGTATTTTTTCAGTTTTGAGGATTCCCTTCTGTTTAGGGCGGTGTTGACGAGTGTGGGACATGGGGTTTCTGGGGATTTTATGGACATATTAACTATCGCTTCTGTATTATTACTCTGTGTTGGGGAGGGTGCACTAGAGTTTGGGGCTGTTTGATTTGGAATTTTACTGGAGTTCCGGATGAGGTTTTAAAGGCGAACATGAAGTGTGTTTTTTTCCTTACTGCTTCCGCTTAGGATATATTTTGTTTTTTATTTTCTTTAGCGTCGTTGTGTTGTTTTGAATCTTATTATTTTGTTCCTTTTTGTATCCGTTGATGAATGGAGTTACTGAGAATATTTTATTTCCATATCTAACGTTTCTTGGTACTGTGGTGGATTTAAACAGGAGGAGTAAATGAGGTGGTTAGTTTTCCTTTGAAGTTTAACATACGGATGGCTTTAACTACATAAGGGCTGAGGAAATTGTTTGCATTTATATTCATGGGGATGTTGTAAACTACCCATCTACTACTGGTTATTGGGGTATTTGGGTTTTTGTTTCCCGTTGGTTTATGGTTTTGGTTTGGTCGGGTGTGTGTGTTTTTCGGGTCCAGTGGTCTATTAGATTTGTAAGGAGCCCCGGGAGAAGAGTATATCACGAACTGTTTTCGTTTTAAGGGCCATCCGAATTTGTGATACCTACAGACATATTATTAGAATGAATCCTGATGGTAGAAATTCGACTGGAGAGACCCCTACATGTTGCCGAATGTCGGACACTGCCCCTTTCCTGTCCATCGTTCTATACGGGTGAGGTTTTCCCCTTTGGGTTTGAGCACAACAACTTCCTGCATCTTGATCTATATAGTGATTAACTGCTAGGAGTGGAGGGGGTATAACACTACGTATTATGTGTTAAAGATACTAAGAGTTGAACCTATAGAATGGTGATAGTTGTGTGTGTGTGGGGGGGTGGGGGGGGGGGGGGGGGGGGGGGGGGTGTTAATACGTATACTTTGGTGATAGACTAAGAGGAGAACCTATAGAATGGGTATAGTGGGGGGTTTGATATAAATATTGGGTAGGATATTAAAATGGGAATCTATAGAATGAGGATAGGGTGTATTAATAGTATGTGTTATCGTGACCTATCTGTTTCCTGCTGGACTGCGTCTTAGATGTTTCTACGGTGTTGATCTAATAATCCGTAGGAATAATACACAGTTAATTTTCACTCTGCTGGAGTCCAAAAAACTGTTCGCACAGATAATAACCACAGAAAAGCACACTTTACAATTGTTTTGAGAACTATGGGTGGGAAGTACCACTTTTGTGGTGACAGATCTAACTAATTCTATACTAAGTATACTAAGTCTACGCTAACGGGATATTCTTCTAAGGCCTATTTGGTGAGGTCAGGGAGTCACGGAAGTGTTGACGGCCCGGTGGTCTAGCTGTGAGTGATCTGAGTGAAAAATTAATTTGCTCTGGGTTCCTTTTTCAATGGCTTCCCGGTTCCATTTTCAACGGGGGTCCATTTTCAACGATACACCCGCATTTATGCGTTTAAAAAACCACTCCGCAAGAAATTATTGTCCAGCATGTGGGTACTTCAAGCTTTCCTGGCTATTTTTAGGACTTTGCATATATACAGGAAATGAGAGCTAAACCAATGAGCATCCATAAAAATGGAAAGGTCACAACTTATAACAATGAATACGTAGTTAATGAATAGGGAAACAAGCATAGTTTGCCAGTTATTCTTGTTTAGAGTAAGCATGACATTTATTTCCTTTTATGACATTTAGAGGTGTTCGGCAGTTACTGAACACATCACTGTTCACTAATTTTGTAACAATAAAAATTTGGACAACAAAAAAAGAGTCCGCATCCTCACATTATTACGGCTAGACTTAAACAAGCCTGCACATCGTTCTAGCGGTTTGCAAAACCAGAGGGGTGCCAGCCTTTGCAATTTTAACAATTTTGGTCGTACTTATAATTTCCAGTTGGATGCTCTTTTATCATCAAATCATGGAATTAAAGATAATTATTAACACGAATTAAGTTTCACTTGGGGATAGGTGGTAAATGACTTTAGTTGGTAAAGCCCTTGACAAATCTGAAATGTTCATTTAAGATACATATGCTTGATTCAGTTTATAGATAGATCATTGAGGGATATTTTATTAAAAATAAAAGAAGTGTTCAGTAATACCCTCCGTGGTGTTCTAAAATTGTCAAATTGTACATTAACTCCCTCCACGTAAAGTAATAGAACGAACCTTATAATGAATAAAGAGTAACGAATATTATTTTGTCATTTCCCACAACGTTTCGTTCAATGTTAGAGGTCCGGGCTCGGAGTGAATGCCTATTCCTATCTTAATTACACTCGGTGCGAATACTCTCTGTGGCACCCTCTGTACGAACACCCTTTAAACAAATTGGGCACCGGCACGGTTTCCAGAGCCCCGGAGACTCTTTACTCAAAGTTGTCAAATTGAGATTTCGTTCAAATACTTTGTTCCTGGTCCTGGCTGGTGGTTAATGCCTATTTGCATCTTAATTAAAATCAGTATGAAAACTGTCTGTGGCACACCATGTACGTGCAGCCTTTCAAAAGTTGGGCACCGGCACGGTTTCCAGACCCCCTGTGACCCTATACTCGAAAATTGTCAAAATTGAGATTTCGTTCTAGTTCTCTGTTCCTGGTTCTGGTTCGGCGTGAATGCCTATTCTAATTTCAATTAAACTCGGTATGAATACTGTGGCACCCCATGTACGTGTAACCTTTCAAACGTTGGGCACTGGCACGGTTTCCATACCCCCGGTGACCCTATACTCGAAAATCGTCAGAATTGTGATTTCGTTCAAATTCTATGTTCCTGGTCCTGAATCGGGGTAAATGCTTATTTCAATCTTAATTAAACTCAGTGTTAATACTGTCTGTGGCACCCCCTGTACGTGCAATCTTTCAAAGTTGGGCACCGGCATCCGTCTTACATTATTTTTCTTTTTAATTTTGAATAACGAATAACTTTCTAACTTTACTTTCGCCCCCGGCAATTAAAGTAAGAAATATATTCGTTATTTGAATAACGAATAACAAATAACTGTCCAACCTTACCTTGTCCGGTTTTTTTTAAAGTTAAAAAAGTGAGTGTGTTGTTTGTCGTTATGTATAAGACGTACCCTTGTGACGACGTAACCACATATTTTTACAAACAATAGCCATATACTGTATAACTACATAAATGTGGGTCGGGGAGAGTGAAGAGCCATGAAGAGCCATGAAGAGCCGATGTAAGCCAGTCAGAGAGAGTAATATGTGTAGATAAAAAAGTAGGAGTGAGAGAAGTAAAATGACTTACTGTAACTTTACTTACGATTGAAATCTAATACTGATTTTGATTTGAGTGCGTTTATTAACCTCGGAATTACACCTTATTTCTGATGTAGATCAAGTCGTAGAGCTAAACCAGATTTTAGGTTTCAAGGCTGAACGTTTGATTCCGAGTAGAATTTGTGCGTGTTACATGTTGTCATGGATAGGGGGGGGGGGGGGGGGAATCACTTGAGTTACAGTTTATTTGAGTTATCCCTGACGTATTCGACTTTCATTCCGGACGTACATAGCGCTTTGTCCCGTTGCACCATAGCGGCCGGGGATAAGGGAAGAAACACTACAATAGTTGAAAATAGTCAAATGTACTCATTACGAAATGCATAATTTATGAAAAGAATCAAAACAAACAATTAAACAGGTAAAAACAAACTCGAATATTCTCTTTTCTAGGTTTTGTTAGCTATAGCTCCCAGAGTGGCGGCCACTTCACACGGTTGATGGCAATATTTGTACCCATACCGACACCACGTCGCGAAATGTTCACAGTTGTATGTTCCTAGGCTGTAAATATGTTCCTCCGCAATAGCAAGCAATGCCCGTTTTACAATTTCTTTCTCCGGATAGTGACTGTAAATATAAAAATAAACATGTGGTCACCATCCTGAACTATTTCATAGTAGTCATATCAAAGTCGTGACTGTTAACGGAGGCAATATATCAACGGCAATACCTCGTCATCATATAACAAAGGATACAACAGATGAAACATTTGTCAGATCTAATCTTACATACTGTAAGTGTAAATTGTGATATATCTACAACAAATTCTAGTATTATCGTATAACTGGAAATAGATCCAAAATATGAGAATTAATAATACCAGATTCCATATCAAAAGAATTCTCTAAGATCTTATAGAACTGAAATATAGTTTTAATGACGATTTCTGGCTATCAGCATGGCAAATTAATTAAAACAAAAATACAGTGTTCATTTTTTCAGATTAAACATTGCTGGTAATATCATAAGTGAAAAGATACTTCCTGACTCAAAATTGTATAGTTGCTGATCTAATTTCATCATCGTGGCTTCTTTTTTTTCTACAAATGCTATTTATATGCCTGACGCATACACAGCACATATCCCACCACCCTTTACATTGTTAGTTGGGGGTAGTTAGGAACTTTCTTCATAGATAAAATGACGTGGTAACAGAACCAGATCAGATTAGATCAGAGAGGAACAGTATATTACATCAGAGGTCAAGAAACGTGGATATATAAAGTGGAGTATCGACAGGGTAGGGATGACATAAAGAACAAACTATCTGTGAAGATGAGAAAGAAGAGAGAATAGACAGAGGAAAAGAAAAGGGGCACTATAATGATATCCTACGAGAAAGGAATATCATAGACCATTCAAAGAAAATTCAGGAAGAACAGGATCTCGACCAGCATGAGACCAATCCAGACCAACTGGAATATTCTTACTCACCAAAAGACAAATATTCCATCAGTGACACTTGATATTGCATGTATAAGATCGGTTGTAAGAAATGTGATTCTGTGTACATAGGGGAGGAAGATTAAATAAACATCGAAAGGAAACAGAAGCCTTAATGAGCAACAGGAATTTCGCTAGATCAGTCAGGAAACATAAGAAACGAAAATTCACAAGAGTATCATAATTGATTATGTTAACAATGTGTAAAAAAAATCAAGGAAAACCGGGTGTATCTGCATGTAAGAATGGGGGATGTAGTCACCTTTACTCGACCATTGATTTCACTACACTAGGTAATTTTTCCCAACTTGGATTTGAATCAGAACCAAAATTATCATTATCTTCATCTGGACTTGAGCTGGATTACACTATTTTAATCTGGACACTTGCTGGTTGTACGATTAGAACACAGAGTTTGATATGACCATCTGCATGTCTTAAGGTCAGAACACAAGGATAGTTACAGTTTCATGAACACTGATTGGCTTTGGACCTTCATTATCAATATTTGATACCAAATTACACTGACGACACAGAAGCCATTTTCTCATTGACTACAGGAGATTACACATGGTTATTATAACGTGATTTTGATATGCAGTTCGTGATTTGCACTGATTTGTGACGTTTGTTCCATTTTATTCAAACCGAAACGTGGCTTCGATCTCCCGCCGACACACGGTAACATTCTAACTGAGCAAATTTACAATACTAATATTTCAAAACACGTAAAATCTCTCAGAAAGCATAAAATTAATTATCAAATGTTCAACTTGAATATAACCCGCGCACTCAATTCTAAAACACGCTATCATAGGATTTGTCATATTAAGAGTCACATTATACAAACGTCCTATTAGTACTTTATTTCGCGATGTGAGGAGCACATTCACACTCACCCGGTTTTGGATTATCCACCACAGTTAAATATAACTTAACACAGTTATATGTAAGGAAAGGGAACTATACTAAAACTGTAAATAAAACAGTTGAACATTGCTAAAACTTTATTCTAAAGCCAGCATCTTTACCTTTAATTGTGTAATATTCTATTGTTTTGATACAATATCACTATAAAATTTGAAACATCATACCTGCAGTCATTGTCCAAGTAGTTGTCTATAGCACATTCGCTGGCACCAACAGTCTCGCACAGAGTACGAACGGTGACTATACCACCATTATCTGCGACGAAATCAACTACATTGTCCTTGCCTGTTTAATATATATAAGAAATGCAAACCTATGTAATTCATTTCCACCTCTTTAATTTGTTGTAAGAGGAAGAAATTGGTGACTATGCTTCTTCATTTACATAGCTCTTAAAAAATGCCAATTTCCACAAAATGTCATAAACTGATCATTTTTTATCTGAATTTGTATGCAAGTCGTATGCTCAAACCTCAACTCATTAACAGATTATAGCTTCAGTATAATACCTACGATTTAATATCTCTGTTTGCACTGTACCCATTGAAACGTCAGATGTTCATACCTAGTAACAGTTTCATATTATTCAATATGTTCACTTCACATTTTCTGATTTTAATCTTAACATCTATGAAAACTGAAAAGATTGTTATAACAAGAACTTTAACTATTTCAAATATTATGAAAGAAAATTCAAATGATTGTTGTTGCCATATTGAAGCTTTACATGTTTTGATTGTAATTTACCTATATATATGGCGTAGTGGAGGAAACAGTCCCGTTCTAACTTAATCATGTCACCACCTTTCCGATTTTTAAGACTTCTTTCGACCCTTGCTCTCTGATCACTGGTTGATTCTACACCGAACAGGGATTTTGATAAACCCTTACTTGATGCAGACAAACATTCCAAGCTTCCGTTTATTCTATGTTTTGATCCGTCAAAGCTTTGAAAAGACATAGTTGCACTGAAAGAACAAAACTGAGCATTAAACTAAAGTAATGACTTATAAAGGCTTTATCTGATGCCCTATCCCTTTGCATATTTTTTGCAGTAAAATTTGTTGAAATTGAAATGAAAGTAACGATATATCCCATAATATGATCATATTACAAAGATGTATATTTATAGATTATCACACTGTATTTTCAGGGTATGTCGTGAGAACAATTTTCCCATCGCGAGGACGTGGATGAAATCGAAAGGCCACCACAGGTGACAAACACTGAAAATACTGTGTGATGATCTGTTTCAATCTATATACTACTACCTTATATATTTCGACATTTAAAAAAAGTCAACTAACCATCATGTTTTCACATGACTTCTAAGCTCAATGGTCAACGATGGCAAATCATCGGTCTGTGACAAACATAAACATATCAAAGATTTGTGCGGGGAAATATAACGAACCTAAGAACTATGTAAATAGGATATTTTAAAAATAATCCTATCGTCATTGGCATTTCCATATGTACATCTACGCTTGGAATGGTGTTATAACCCTCAACATATTTGTTTCGTTATNTGCCCTATCCCTTTGCATATTTTTTGCAGTAAAATTTGTTGAAATTAAAATGAAAGTAACGATATATCCAATATTATGATCATATTACAAAGATGTATATTTATAGATTATCACACTGTATTTTCAGGGTATGTCGTGAGAACAATTTTCTCATCGCGAGGACGTGGATGAAATCGAAAGGCCACCACAGGTGACAAACACTGAAAATACTGTGTGATGATCTGTTTCCATCTATATACTACTACCTTATATATTTCGACATTTAAAAAAAGTCAACTAACCATTATGTTTTCACATGACTTCTAAGCTCAATGGTGAACGATGGCAAATCATCGGTCTGTGACAAACATAAACATATCAAAGAGTTGTGCGGGGAAATATAACGAACCTAAGAACTATGTAAAAAGGATATTTTAAAAATAATCCTATCGTCATTGGCATTTCCATATGTACATCTACGCTTGAAATGGTGTTATAACCCTCAACATATTTGTTTCGTTACTGTATATTAATTTGTTTACGGCGGACTATTTTCTTACGCGGATCACTTTTGTGTGGATATCACTTAAGGATGGAAATCGCCTGGCGCAAGCAGACGTTCGCTTTTGGTAAAATACGTTACCAAATGACGGGATTTAAGAAAATCCGTTCTCCAGTTGATCTCTAGTCCTTTTCAAGTCGGTTTCAACTTCTCACTACCTTTTATTTCCTAGCGCCTAGCTTGGTAGATGCGTTGAGGGTAATGGCAACAACTGGTTCACCCGTTGTCAGCATAATGTGACCGGATGAAATGCTGTGCTGGATGCCTTAGGCATGGTGTTTCAGTGTGCACGCTATTACAAAGAGGCAAGTACACCAACATACCCTGTCTCCAGCATAAATACATATTTGCACGCTTACACAACACACATGGAGGCACGTCTTTAAATGACCTTATATGTTAGTCGGACGTTAAAAAAATAAAACCAAACCAAACCAAATAAGATTTATAATGTAGAAACAAACTTTCTTCAGTCCCTTTGGGTTATTAGCACAATACCGATATTTAATATTTCACAGCAAGACCTTATAAACCAAACTGTAACATATCCATTAATACATATTTTTGAAGAAGCATAAACTGGTCAAGGGATGTTTTGAAATATTCTCTTTGAAACCAATAGGCAGGAAGAAGACATTATTCATAAAATCCATTTCATAATAACTATGAATACATCACTGCCGCGGTTACAATATAGACATAATCAGCACTTCCTTTCAACAAACTGTTTTTTTTATTAAGGTGGCATCACACTTTCGCAATAAGCCAGCAATATTCAATGAAAGTTTCACATAAGGGTTATGTCAATATCAAGATAAACTGGGGATTTTTTGGTAAAAAATACCGAAAAATTGATTTTTTGTCAAATTCAACACTTTCACATCTTTTGAGTGTGTGGCATTGTTCCAAATTATTACAACAATAAAATAATGAAAAGAAACATTGTTAATCAACCCTACAATTATTTTATTTATCATAAAATATCTACAACATGTTTTATTGAAATTGTATGGATAAAAGTTACTAGATACAAGCTAAAAGCAAACAGGACAAACAGTTTTATACAAAAAGAGTGAAAAATTTAACCAAATACACACAAAGTCCTTATAATTCATTTATTTTACAATAACTTTGATCCCGATGAGAGTTGTGTACCTTGAAAAAATCGAAACTTTTATCAGAGGGATAGAATTTACACAATAAATTACTATATTTAATTGTCAATTTACTGTTCTTTTATGGAACAAAATTACTCTCAATCAAGTACACTTTGGACATTATTCCATAGCCCGCTTTCGCATGGTATATTTACATGTCAGGTACATATGTAAGGGCATAGGCTATCGCATGATATGCCGTTATCACGTGCACGCACATGCACTTGCAATTTATAAGGATCTTGATTTTTTACAAACCACTATTTTCACAGATTTATTGTTATTGCGTTTGTGAAACGATTTATCTGACAGAGCGTAACTCGCTGGACAACAAATGTCGTAGCGACCAAGAGCTTATGAACTACTGTTAGCACATGATACGTACAGGTGAGGTCGGTAAACAAAAAATATCAGTCTGCCTTCCATGCGCCTCATATACGACCTTCTTGAAGTCGTCTGATCTTATGTCAGTGTCTTCCCGTGAGTTAATTAATGTCACGTATGATTACACATTTTCAAGTTAAGTCTCGATATCGGGTGTTGACATATCATCGTCACGCACGTGTACTATTGTTTACCCGGTGTTACTATAATTTGCACTACGGTAATGGAATGCCCGATATGCAATACGAAAATGACGACACGAAAATACGACAAGAAAAACATGTGTATTACGAAGGGTGGGAAGTCCTTTAGATGGCTTTGTAAAACTCCTTACTGTTTTTCATGAAAAAATGAAATAGAGACACTAGAGCATACCTTCCGGCTATGTGAACAGATACAAGTTTCTTTTATTCATTTTAATTTCATACAATTGCCTTAATTATTCAGCTTAGATTTAATATAAAAAAAAACTTAATATTTCATGAACATACTCCAAAAGGGAATTACTCCTTTTATAGATGAAGGAATTTTCCTTATAATAATACAATATACTTATAAATCTAGATGTAGCCAAGTTCAATTAAAAAGCAATCTTTAATTAATACAATCAAAGAACACTATCCTGTTCAGGAATATTTAGCGAAAGACATACAATTGTATGACTATTGTAAATGTAAATTCCAAAACCGATTGAGAAAATGGCTTAAATTAAACGAACTCTCATTGTAAAACCTGACAACCATTTATATATATATATATGGTATATACCAACTGCATATACAGTTGGCATAAATACTATACCCCAACTGATAATGCACTCCCTCTCTGTATTTTTTCTGTCTTTCCTCTCTACTTTGTTCTGTATTTTTCTTCTTACTTTTTAAATTTGTAATGTCATGTTTATGTTATTTGGTGTTAATGTTCCTGTACGTCAATGTCATAATATTTTGGTAGTAGTATTTTAAATCAGAATCGTACTATGTGTGTAAAACTGAGTGAGCATAAGAGTGTATGTTTAAATGTTACAGGTATATGTATTTATGTAATGTGACAATATGTTATGTGAATCTTTGAAAAGTTAAAACATTATATTGAAAAGTTAAACTATGTGAGTTGTGGAATAAAACATTAAATCACCTGTGTGCACAAAGGTCTTACTCATAATTGAATACCTTTTATGGGTACTAGATTGTATGTGATATATGTATCCACCATATGTACGACACAACAGTCATATGCATACATTTTACCTAACAATTTTGTATATGTTGTTTTTTTACCTCCATAACACTATATAGCACAAAAACATGGATTGCTGTGTCACCTCAATTTACGTCCATAAGAAACCGAGGTTCTGTGGCACTAAATCAATAATATATATTCACCTGTGATGGGGTGTGTACCACCTTAATTAAGGTTCAAAGGAAAGTGTAATACATAAACAGCATTGTATATTTACCTGTAGATGTTCTTGTCGCCTTAGTTAATGCCCAAGTGATAGAAAGTGTTCAAGCCTGACTGAGGCAATCGCGTATGAGTCACGGGGTAGGTAATTTCCAATATGTTTTCCCAATACCTTGTGTTTCCTAGAATTTTCAAAACAGCTTATTGCATTGACAATTTTATTAAAGTGAATGTGTGTGTTTTCTTCAAAACTCCAAAAAATCTGTTCCATGTCTTTGTTTCCTTATCGTTATATTTCCTCCTTTCTTCCTTTTGCTAAATATAGCACTACATGTAAATAAGACTACAAAATTGTAAGTCCTAAATATAACATGTATGAATCATACTACTGGTAATTTCTGAAATTTGATGAGATGCAGTTCTGAGAAAACAACAAATCCCCAATGCCGAAATATAAATAGGTTCAACGAAACTTTCCATATATAAACAAGATTACATAAGAAAACAGGTTTTCGTAAGTATTTTGTAATTCCTCGATAATCCTTATAAAGACCCAATGACATATATAACGCGATAGATAAAGCCAGGTAATAATTCGACACCATAGGATACCAGTGGAACCCAGGGGTAAGCTATAAGGCATGATATTTATTCGTCTATTTGACTTTACAAACTACTACTTGCATCTGCAATTTGGTAATTTAGTAATGGACTGTGACGGTGAGAATAGCCGGGAGGTAAATCCTTCAAACTATTTCAATAGGGTAAGATGTTGTCTAGTAGTGGACTTTTTAAGAGGAGATGAACTTGGGTACATGTACATGTTATATGCTATTGATTACAAAAATAAATTTCACGGTAATTTGTTACCTCAGTAAGATCATTTTGCAGTGTTTTCTACTAAAACAGCTATGCATATTTACCCGTGGTTGATTGTGCGTCTCCAATGTACATTTATAAGACTAGCGCGTATTGCATAGAATCAGGATAACACAATCTTACCTGTGTTTTTTGCAAAATAAAGCATTATTAACGTAATCGTGCTGGATCTTTTCGAACTTGTGCTGAAAGACATATTGGCGCTGATATGATCAATCAAACGAAACAAACTATCTTATAGCACACCTTTAATAACAATGAGAACCATTTTATTAAATAACTCCGATACGATGATGTGTTGATATAGGTGTATTAAGATTTCCGGTTGGTTACCATATATTTCTTTCGTATGGCATAATACCGAGTACGAAGCACGAGTGAATTATCGGTATATTCTGCCATACGAATTAAATCAATATGGCATTCAATGGGAAAACCACCATATTTATGTAAACTTTCGGTGGGCGAATGGACCCAAGCAGTACACTGCTCCGACAATTTTACGTTCCTTGTGATTAGCGAAAGAGACCTCACTCCATAAAAAGACACTACACATCATTGTAAGACATATTGGAGGCGGTGAGTCTATAGTATACCCCCGGAAAAAATCAATTTATGTCGTTTATAAACATTGTATGAATAATACACCGGTCGGACACAAGACCTATATATAGTCCTACTACCTGAACTGTACCTGTGCGACCAACCAAACCGGTTTTGACCATCTCGTGCGTGGCACATAGGAACACAGATATTGAACTATAAACAAACAGTGCTCTCTCACATGTTTACATGCGTCTATGTTGGTATTTGTGTGAAATAATAGCATGTCATCTAATCCGTCAAAACGGAAAACTAGAGGTTCCAATTCTGACTGCAGTTTTGAGGAAACATCAGAATTAAATGAAACTCCCGATGTAAAGGAGATAAAAAAGGAAAAAGTAACAAACAGACAGAAAAAAACCTAAAGAACTAGACAAAAAACAAAAAACCATACCCGAAATGAACGCCGAAAAAAAGAAAGATTTGATTCCTGAGCACATACACGAGACTACTGACTCGAGAAAAGATATGGAACTTGGCGAACATCTCAATAGGATAGAGAGACTGGTACGTTCATCTAAAGAAGATCTTACTGAGCAAATAAAACACCTTATCACCAAAACCCAGTTAAAATTTGCTATTGAACAATTCACCAATAAATTCGACGAGAAAATCTCCAATGTAAGAGACTCCTTTAATGAAGACATCGAAAGACTCAAAAGAGATATTCATACTGTTGTCGTCGAGAATCAGACACTCAAAGAGTCTGTCCAACATCTTGAAAAAGACAACGAGGCCCAAATGAACCAAATCTGTAAGCAACGCGACTACATCGAGGAGAACTATGAGGCAATAAATGACCTCGAACAACACGGACGCGCCAATAGTATCCGAATATATGGTGTATCCGACACGAACGCGACCGAGACTGTGGAAGATTCTGTTGATAAGATAATCAAAGTGTGCAACTCCAAGTTAAAACTAAACAAAAAACATCGTTCCCGACGACATCGATATATGTCACAGATTGGGAAACTTCAAAACTGGAAAACCGCGAACCATCATCTACAAATTTGTCAGGAGGAGAACAAAGTTGGTCATCATCAAACACCGTTCGAACCTCAAGAACACTGGTATAGTCATTAAAGAAGACATCACCCAGCAGAACCAATCCCTACTTGATAGGGCATACCAACATCCCCAGATCAAGTACACCAATGTTCAAAATGGGAAACTAAAGGTGGAGACAGTTGATGGACAGAAAT